ATTGTACATCTTATTAGACTACATTTTTATTGTACATCTTATTAGACTACATTTTTATTGGACATCTTATTAGACTATACTTTTGTTGGACATCTTATTAGACTACATTTTTCTTGTACATCTTATTAGACTACACTTTTATTGGATATCTTATTAAACTACATTTTTATTGTACATCTTATTAGACTACACTTTTGTTGGACATCTTATTAGACAACATTTTTCTTGTACATCTTATTAGACTACACTTTTATTGGATATCTTATTAAACTACATTTTTATTGTACATCTTATTAGACTACATTTTTATTGGACATCTTATTAGACTACATTTTTATTGTACATCTTATTACACTACATTTTTATTGTACATCTTATTAGACTACACTTTTATTCGATATCTTATTAGACTACATTTTTGTTGTACATCTTATTAGACTACACTTTTATTGTACATCTTATTAGACTACACTTTTATTGTACATCGTATTAGATTATACTTTATTTTTTATGATATATTGAAAGAAATTCTAAGACTACGCGGTTTTGTCACCAATCATTAAAAACGCTAAACCTCTATATCCAGCTAACTGATGTAGTGAATTCCCCACTGAAACCATGATATCCAGCTAACTGATGTAGTGAATTCCCCACTGAAACCACAACGTCCAGTTAACCGATGTAGTAAATGCCTCGGTGAAACCATGATATCCAGGTCACCGATGTACTGAATTCCCCACTGAAACCATGATATCCAGGTAACCGATGTATGAATTCCCCACTGAAACCATGATATCCAGGTAACCAATGTACTGAATTCCCCACTGAAACCTTGATATCCAGGTAACCGATGTACTGAATTCCCCACTGAAACCATGATATCCAGGTCATTGATGTATTGAATTCCCCACTGAATCCATGATATCCAGGTAACCGATGTAGTGAATTCCCCACTGAAACCATGATATCCAGGTAACCGATGTAGTGAATTCCCCACTGAAACCATGATATCCAGGTAACCGATGCAGTGAATTCCCCACTGAAACCATGATATCCAGGTCATCGATGTATTGAATTCCCCACTGAAACCATGATATAAATAATCAGACTAAATTCTTCCAAGAATGAATAAGAGAACAAACTTGAGATTGACGTCACAGAGGAATTGCATTATGGGAAGCACTTGCGGGTAGAATATATTCTTCATAATGAATTCACACCAGATGTCGTTGTTGTTCAAGCGTAAAGCTGTTCAATAGGCAAACAATTTGTATTGTGCCCACTACAGAAACTGAAACCCGAATTTTTGCGCTATATACCCACGGTATTGTTCTGTTGTTTAATTACAAAGCTGCCTGATGAGTTACCCTCACTGCGCCTACAGCAGGGATCGAAGCCCGAAATTTAGCGCCTTAAGCTCTTAGGTTTACCACTGAGTCACACTGAGACGAGGCTTAAAATGTGCTGATTAAGTTCATTAAAATTCTAGTCCTTTGGTGGCTGAGTGAGAAGTTTCCGTACTTACAATGCTAAAATCCGGAGTTCGAATCCCCGCGACGGACAGCACGCAGATAGCTCATTGTGTAACGTTCCGCTAAAATATCGTTTTGTTTTCTTAGTGCAAAGCCACACAATGAGCTATCAGCACTCTGTCCACTGCAGGAGATCGAACCCTACATTTTAGCGTTGTTAATCCGTAAACTTATCGCTAACCAATTAGAGGACTCGAAAAATATAGCAGATGTTTCGTGATGCTTTCAGGTTTACTTCGTTTTCAATGTCTGGTGAAAATCGCTAGCACCCAATAGTTCTCAAAAGCAACAATAGATGCCAGCACAAGATATTCTTGAAAAATGTGGTGCTGCACATCCTCGCAGTGCTAATCATGACTTGCAGTTCGATTATCTCAAACGTTCCAACTGGTGATTTTGTGTTTGTGTGTTTTGTTGTTTAGGGGATAGTTGTGATTGTGTGTTTTGTTGTTTAGGGGTAATTATGTTTGTGTGATTTGTTGTTTACGGGATAGTTGTGATTGTGTTTTGTTGTCTAGGGGTAGTTGTGGTTGTGTTTTGTTGTTTAGGGGTAACTATGTTTGTGTGATTTGTTGTTTACGGGATAGTTGTGATTGTGTTTTGTTGTCTAGGGGTAGTTGTGGTTGTGTTTTGTTGTTTAGGGGGTAACTATGTTTGTGTGATTTGTTGTTTACGGGATAGTTGTGACTGTGTTTTGTTGTTTAGGGGTAGTTGTGTTTGTATGTTTTGTTGTTTAGGGGTAGTTGTGTTTGTGTGTTTTGTTGTTTAGGGGTAATTATGTTTGT